ATACCTCTGGCGAGTCGTCTGGAGGCCTGATCGCCAACATTGGGCGCCTCTTTGATGGCAATGGCCGACGGGATTATGAACTGCGGCTCACGATTGCCGGCGTAACCCAATTTGGTGTACCTGTCATCGCATGGGGAGTGTGAGTGCAAGTGATCATGTGGTAAGTGATGGCGAGTGCATACCCGGTGCCGTTGTCGATGACAATCGCTGGCAAACGTCCGGCCATTGGATGTATTGGATGTGTGTTTTGGTGTCAAATGTAGAGACAATTGGATTGAATTTAAAGGCCAGTTGTGCTGAACGTCACACCCATTGGTTGACTAACACTATAAACAGTATAAACACTGCAATACAAGCACTCAATCACTCACTCATTGCATACACAACACAACACTCATATTAGGAGCCATTCATTAACTCTGTTACCATTATATGATTTTGTGATTTAACTTATTCATTTTACTTGCTTTGAGATATTTAATTGTAAAATTATGGTTAAATTAACCTGTGGTTTAATTATGCTGTCAATATTATAATAGCTACACTACATTATAATATAAACTCTCTTTAATTTAATGTTTTTATTTGTTTAAAAAAAATTACGAATTTATATAAAATTATACTTATTTTGAATACTATTTGATCAGAACAAAATGATCTTGACTAGAACTATCAATATTTTTGTTAAAACGTTATAATTATTTAAAAATTTTAAGTAAGGTGATTTAATATGACCATGTATATTAAAATAAATGCATTTTATTTTATTTTCAACTTTTATATTTCTTTATTATAATTTAATTATTATAGAATTTAATACAAATATAAAAATATGGTTAACCATTTCATGAGGACATCCTGTTATTTCATGTTTCTTTATAAGCTTTTATAGATTTTGATGATTATTAACTGTGCTTGTTAAAGTTACATAAAGTTACAACTTAAGTAATTTTATAATACTTTAGTGCTTTAAAAGTTAGAGGCTAAATCAAATACTGTTAATTAAAAAATTTTATCAATTTTGAGTAATGTTGCCAATGCTAAAGTGACTGTTAACGTGGCCAACTTTGCAATATTAAATTTACAATAAATAAATGATGAATTACCAAGTATTAGTTTGAGGCAAAACTATTACTTATTGAATTGGTATTATCTGTTGTATTTTTGTGAATTTATTATTTGGTCAAAATTACCTTGATATTTTTAAACATATAGTAAATATTTCAATTACTCGCTGACCTTTGATTTGAATGGTTTGAACACTTTTTCTGTATTTGTTAGTTATTAAAATGGATATTTCTCTTATATTTAGAATAATTGAAAATCTTAAATAATATTTTGGCTAATTCTTGATTCTACTTTCTTGTGACTTTTAAAATTAAATGCAGTTTAATTGTGGATATAATAAATAAATATTATAACCAAGAAAATATAGAAACTATTGGTAAAAATATAAGTAATTACTTTTTAGAAATATTTGAAACACAAAAAGAGAAATAAACGTTAATTAGAAATTTGATGTGTGCCATACAAAGTGCCATAGAGAGTGGCATACAGTGTGTGAATAAGTGGTACAATACATGATAGGAACGGGCGATGTTGTGGTACAAGACATGCACCGATCGATGTATGGGTCAGAACTTTACTGACAGAGCGTAGCGCCTATTTTCTCTCATCCTCTGATCATTTATCGATTTTTCTCGAGCCATGCCTTCATTTATCGTGTTATGAAATATCCAAATATCAAACATATTTATAGACCACATATTCGCCGTTAATTTGTTCAATAACTTTATTCTTGTATTCATTACACAATTTATACCACTAATAAATATATGTGTATCAAAGTCTCATTATTAGTATTATTACATTCTCCTAATCATTATAATTGGTAATCATTTTACGATCATATTTGTCACCAGTTTTGTCGAACTTCGCGAATAACAATCTATTTATAAACCATAAGATTTAATATTTAACGTTATATTCCGTTACATTTGGGACCGAAAATATTGAAATTGATTTGAAATTGTCATCCATTCAAAAGGTATTGAAATATTTTGTACAACATTTTATTTTAAATTCAATATTTAACCAACAATTCTATACAGAATTTGTTTATATATTTTAAATTCTGATTGTTTGGTTGATTGTGAAACTAATTGGATTTGTACACCAATAATAAATGGGCAATATATTTGATACTTATATGATATTTTAATTATACATAATATTTTCAAAATAGTTAGATAAAAATCTCGTTAAATACAATGACTAATTCAAAATAATTTACAAATGTTTAAATTTATATACAATGTAATTCTAAATATTATGAGCAAATTGAGAATTCATTTTACAAACAATATATCATTGAAACGAAAATTGATTGTGAGTTTTGCCAAATAATTTTGAGATTTAAATATTTATTTTCCACTCAATTTGATCTCATTGTGTTATCACAAAGTGATGTTTGCGAAGGCGTTTTCTTTCAATTTATTTGAACCAGTCAATTTAATTTCAATACATTTTTATAGAATAGCAACATGATAAATGCACTATTGACACAATGCATACAATTTGAATAAATAACTTCGATGAGATTTGTTATTGTGAAAATAATAATTATACCTGATCATTTTCAACGTATCATTTTAAATATGATTCATTTATGTCTATCAACCAATTGGTGCTGTTTTGATTTCATCAATTATAAATTAATTAATGTAAAATTATGGATTGCAAAATATGTACATTACAATTTTATAATTATAATTCAGTATGTTTTTTGTTTTTAGTGTTTGTAATATTAAGATTATATAACACAAGTTGTTGTTATACAACGTATTCTTGGAATTTTATTTCTTTTACAACATATATTTTATTTTATTTCCTACTTAATTCTTAAAATAAGCGAGGTTTAATTTTATTCTAATCAATTCTGTATTATTATGCAATTTTGTGGACTTATATTAAAAATTATATGATTTATTAAATAGAATTGAAGGAAACAATGNATGACAGGTACACCAAATTGGGTTACGCCGGCAATCGTGAGCCGCAGTTCATAATCCCGTCGGCCATTGCCATCAAAGAGGCGCCCAATGTTGGCGATCAGGCCTCCAGACGACTCGCCAGAGGTATCGACGATCTGGACTTCTTCATCGGCGATGAGGCGCTCGACAATCAGTCGGCGTATACCGTGAAGGTATGGCACAAATGCACACCACATCTACACCACAATCCACCCACTAATCCATTGAATCCCGTTTAGTATCCCATACGACACGGCATTGTGGAGGACTGGGACCTAATGGAGCGCTATTGGGAACAGTGTATATTCAAGTACTTAAGGGCTGAACCGGAAGACCACTATTTCCTGTTAACAGAGCCGCCGCTGAATACGCCCGAGAATCGCGAATATACGGCTGAAATCATGTTCGAGTCGTTCAACGTTCCCGGCCTTTACATCGCCGTACAGGCGGTGCTGGCATTGGCCGCCTCCTGGACCTCACGACAAGTGGGCGAACGCACGCTCACCGGCATTGTCATCGACTCGGGCGACGGCGTCACGCATTGCATACCAGTGGCCGAGGGCTATGTCATCGGCAGTTGCATTAAACACATTCCCATCGCCGGCCGTAACATCACTTATTTCATACAAAACCTTTTGCGCGAACGAGAGTTCGGTATTCCTCCGACTCAGTCGTTAGAGACGGCCAAAGCCATCAAAGAGAGGTTCTGTTACGTGTGTCCCGACATCGCCAAAGAGTTCGAAAGGTATGACTCGAACCCAAACAAGTGGATCAAGAAGTATAGCGCCAAGAATGCCATCACTAAACAGCCCTTCGAAGTGGACGTCGGCTTCGAGCGCTTCTTAGGGCCCGAAGTGTTCTTCAACCCCGAGATTGCGAACCCAGACTTTGTGACCCCTCTGTCCGAAACAGTGGACACTTGTATCCAGAATTGTCCCATCGATGTGAGACGTCCTCTCTATAAGGTATGCATTGTGTTGACCACTGTTTGAGTTGTTATCACAAATTTACCGGCGATTGTTGTTCTCATTGTTGTCCAGAATATTGTTCTATCGGGCGGTTCGACAATGTTTAAGGACTTTGACCGACGGCTACAGCGAGACATCCAGCGAACGGTCACCGGAAGACTTAAACTGAGTTATTCGTTAAGTCAGGGAAGACTGAACCCGAAGCCGATCGAAGTGCAAGTGGTCTCCCATCACATGCAACGATACGCCGTGTGGTTCGGCGGCTCAATGTTGGCGTCCACTCCCGAGTTCTATCCGGTCTGTCATACGAAAGCCCAATACGAAGAATACGGTCCCAGTATTTGTCGACACAATCCGGTGTTCGGAGCCATGACTTAAAGCCACGCCAACCGCTGAAGTCATTGTCTCCATCGGATTCATTGCCGATCAGTTGTCGAGAAAATCAATTCAATTGAAATTTTGAACAATAAATCTGTTTCTAAATATATATTTAAATTGATTATTAGATTTCAATAAAAATTTATTACTTATTTCTTTAACAAAATGCTCGCTCTCTTTGCCCCCCATTCGCCCCCTTATGTCATATATGAATGGTTTGTAACGTTATGTTTGTCTGCGATTTGTTTGTTGACATGACTTGAAGTGTGAAATGAAAGTGATTTTCATTAATCAAAATAAACCATTAATTATCTGCTCTTGAGTTGGATCTGTTGTTACGGCACACGTCTTGAGGTGTGTGTAGACAATGACAGACAACGTGTCGACAGAGACGGTGAAGGAGGCGGTGGAGAAGGAGTGGGAGAGTGTGGCCGTAGCCGAGAGACTCACCGCACAGAGGGATCAGCTCCTTCTTCAGGAGCGAGAGATCGACGCCTTAAGACAGGAACTGCTGAGCGCCAGACAATCGATGCACTCGTTTGAGACGGAAAGCGCTCTCGAGAGGAAGCGATTGCGCGAAGAGTTGGTGACTCACGCGGACAGATGTCGACAACTCGAGGACAATAAGCGAGAGCTCGAAGAGAACATCGGTTTATATAAAGAGCAGAACCGAGTCCTTCATCTCAATTACCAGGAATTGGAGGCCAAGTGTCTGGAACTGGAGGAAGACCTGAAACGAGCGGACAAACAGAACGATAGCATCGATTTGATCCGCAAAGACAACGCCAATCTGAAGACACAAGTGTTGATGCTTTCAGAGCTCTACCAGGGATTGAAAGACAGGTTCGCTGTTATCAACAAAACGGCAACTTTTGATGACTTGACGGCCATTGAGTACGAAGTGAGGACTAAGGAAATCAATGGTCTGTTTGTCAATGAGTTATGTTTTACTCATTTATATTCAATGTGTTTATCGTTTAGATTTGCGCTCAAAATTGGAGACAACTGTCCATCAGATGGAAGTCTATAAACTGAAGAGCAATGAAATAGATTTACAAATCGCTAAAAGGGATCACATAATCGCCGATCAAAAGCAGATCATCGAAAGCACCAAAATTAGGCACAAAAAGCAATCAGAGGTCCGTATTGTGGGAAATAAACATACATTTACTCAATATCTGTTGCCATCTTTAGATTGAACAGCAAAGGATTGATGGACTTAAGAAAGTGATCCAACAGTTAGAACAACATATTCTTAGCCTTTATGGACAGTTAGGTCTCAAAGAACACGAACAGAGACTCAGAGAAAGTAAAGACAATAGTTTGTTGTTTAGCGCAATATTGGTTGATATGATTGCTAATTGAATTATATTTGATTTGCATAGAACTGGCCGTTCCTGAAGAACAGGTTCCGATGCAAGCATCTGATCCCATGGTTGACACGGATTCCAACCATAACTCTAACCTAAATAATAGTAATATGAGTGATGAACCAAACCATAGCTATACTAATGGCAATCATAAACAACAATAGCATTGTTTTCGATGGCTTTCGAGAATTGTATTTAAGTTTATTATAATATTCTTATAACGGCTTTGTTTTGTTGAATCGATTACAGTATAAGCGGTCGCAATATAAACGCTATTAAGCTTTCAAATAGTTTTTTCATATTTTGTCAATAAGTTTTAAGTTATTTTCAAATGTAAACAAATATATGTCATTTTAAATTAAATAATTGTTTTATTTATTAATTCATAATTGTTTTTATATATAACAGAAAATATAAGTTTAAATATAAAAAGTTTCACTATTTGTGTTGTATTTATTGTGATGTATTACCATAACATGTAATATACTAACCATTTGGCACTCAAAGACATTGTTGTCATATTATACGAGACCAGTGTTAACACCGACTTTACTAATCTTATTGTCATCATTAATTAGTTCCCAAACAACTCAACTATAATTAAGGTAATAAGTTACTAACTATTACTTTACCTGGTAAAGTTTACCATATGATTGATTACATTTGTTGCATCATGCTCATTACGTTTCTATCATGTTTAATGTCAACAAGTTTGTCAGATCAACAATAATTTGAGACAAAATAACAATCAATTAATTAAACTTATGATGCAATCAATAGTAAAATAATTATGCAATCAATGAGTCATACAATTAAGAATTGAAAAGTTGTAAAGTGTTAGACGTGTAGTGAAAGTGTCATCTGTTGGACAGAAGGCTCACAACAAACACATCACACGTTATCTCACGCCTGATGTTAAGCGTGGCCTCAATTGCATCACTAAAACACTTAAACATATTTAACAACAGATTATTGTCTCATATCGTGTCCAACCTATCGATGAGTATATGTTTCACAGATTTTGGCCACAAATCAGCCGCATATCCAAGCATTTGTTGAGAGGTCTGTCATTTGATCCCAAAATATTGTGTTGTATTTCAATGTCATTTTTTCTCTCCAGAAAATCCGCGAAACAAAGCGTTTGTGAGGAAAATGAGTGAAATATCTGAACCAAAGGTCAGTAAAAATGAGTTAAAACGGAGACTCAAAGAGCAGAAGAAGGAGTTAGAGAAACAAGAAAAAGAGGCTCAAAGACAACAGACGGCCACCGCTTCCGCTGGCGGTGAGGTCTCAGTCAAAGACAAGAAGCCGGCGACCAATGAGGAGGAATTGGATGAAAATGAATACTTTGTGATCCGATCCAAAGCCATCAACGAGTTGAGGACAGCGGGAGAGCAGCCGTACCCACACAAGTTCAATGTGACCATAAGTTTAACGCATTTCATTCAACGGTACGACCACTTGAAGCCCGAAGACATCATCAAAACGGATGAGCTGTCGGTCGCGGGTCGGGTCCACGCGAAACGAGAAGCCGGACAGAAGTTGATATTTTACGACTTGAGAGCGGAGGGCGTGAAGATTCAGGTGATGGCAAACGCCAAACTCTACGAGAGTGAGGAACTGTTTGCCAAAGACAACGATAAGATCAGAAGGGGTGACATAATCGGGTGCATCGGTTGGCCGGGAAAGACCAAGAAAGGAGAGTTGAGTATTGTCCCCAAGAAGATAGAGCTGTTGACGCCATGTCTACATCAGGTCCCACACCTCCACTTCGGTCTCAAAGACAAAGAGAAACGCTTCCGTCAGCGGTATTTGGATCTTATACTCAACGAAACGGTTCGCCAGAAGTTCATGACCAGAGCCAAGATTATCAAATACTTGCGCGACTTCTTCGACGGCTTGGGTTTCCTGGAAGTGGAGACACCGATGATGAATATGATCGCCGGCGGCGCCACCGCTAAGCCCTTTGTCACGCATCACAACGACTTAAATATGAACCTATTTATGCGAATCGCACCCGAATTGTATCTAAAGATGTTAGTCGTCGGTGGCATCGATCGGGTCTATGAAATCGGCCGACAGTTCCGTAACGAAGGCATCGATTTGACACACAATCCAGAGTTCACGACCTGTGAGTTCTATATGGCTTACGCCGACTACAACGACCTGATGGTCATTATGGAGACAATGCTTTCGGGACTCGTGCGGCACATATTCGGCAAATACGAGGTGACATACCATCCCGACGGACCCGATGGAGAGCCTGTGGTCATCAATTTCATGCCTCCATTCAAACGGGTTTCGATGATTTCGGAGTTGGAGAGCAAACTGGGCGTCAAGTTTCCCGAAGCGACAGAACTGGACACCGAAAGCGGCAATAAGTTCCTCTCAGATCTCTGTGCGAAACACGAGGTCGAGTGTCCGGCGCCGCGAACCAGCGCTCGGCTATTGGACAAACTGGTCGGCGACTTCATTGAAGTGCACTGTTTGGACCCCACGTTCATCACAGAGCACCCCATTATGATGAGCCCACTGTCCAAATGGCATCGTTCAAAACAGGGACTCACAGAACGCTTCGAACTCTTCATCTCCAAGAAGGAAGTGATCAATGGATACACGGAATTGAACGACCCGTTCGTCCAAAGGCAGCGCTTTGAACAGCAGGCGGCGGCCAAAGCGGCCGGCGATGACGAGGCCCAAGGCATCGACGAGACCTTCTGCAACGCTCTCGAGTACGGACTGCCGCCGACGGGTGGCGTCGGCATTGGTATCGATCGGTTGGCCATGTTTTTGACGGATTCCAATAATATCAAAGAAGTACTGTTTTTCCCGGCCATGAAACCCGACGACAATAAGAGGTCTGACGGCACGGATGGCGACCAACCCGTGGCCAACGGTTCCAACTAATGATGATATGACTAGTTATTAGGCATAAATGATTTGATACTGAATTGGAAAAGCATTTTATATTTATTTTAAAACTAAATCCAAACCAAATGATTGTCACAAACAGTGGACACGTTATTATTGTTTGCGAATAAAAACAACTGAAATATAACTAAACACTAATTGACTATTGATTTAATTATACAGTAATTTAAACTATTTTAGAAAATGTACGAAACGTTAGGCGAAGAAGCGGTTCAATTGAGCTAAGGATTGACGGCCTGCGGACCGGCCGTGAGGTCCTGTTGTTGTTGTAATTTCTTCATCATATCGTCGTCTTGCATGGAAAGAGTGGTCAACTTTTTGCCGATCTTCTCGTGAACGTCCAAATACTTGGCGACACACCTATCGATGCAAACGGACTCTCCTTTGTTCAGCTCTGAGTCCCTATACTTGGGAGGAATGCACTTCTTATGACACGCCCGAGTCATCCGGTTATACATATCGGACATCATCTCTATCTCCAAATCGGCCACTAATTGCATCTTTGATGCGTCCAATTGTAAGGACGGCCCACCAGTCGGTCCACTCATTGTGTCCACAGTTATA